GTGTATTCTAATATTGTGTAAACTTGAAAAATTATTTTACCTATATGATGAATTTGAAAAAGAATAAAATTGGAATTTTATTCTAATTAGTTCATTCAAATACTTAATTATTTTTTAAGATATCAAAACAAATAATATATTTTTTGGTAAATTCTTAATATTATCTGATACCATATTTTAAATATTTAATTATAATTATTTTTTTATAAACAAAAAAATAATTTTTAATTATAAATATTCGAACTTTTGCACATTATGTTTGTCGAAGCGTTGGTGTAAATGACTTTTGTCAATCACTTTCCTTTTTCTCTTTATTTTTGATTTTATTAAATATTTTTGTAATTATTTATTTTAATTATGTTTTACCATCTATAGTAACATTTATATCTAAGCAAATTATTGATCGAAGAATAAAATTAAGGGTCAGTGGACCAATCTCACATTGACTACTCATAGCATTTATAATTGTCGAATTAGGATGAAGGACCAAGCAAAATGCTTCCTCTTTCTTTAATTATTTCTTTATTTTAATTCGTTTATATCACAATTGTTCTCCCAAAAATTAGCACAATTAAACAAACCGTTGTGAGCTAAAAAAATGTTCAATTATAGACCATTCATAGGCATAAAGATTCTAGTTTTATTCAATCATCTTTAATCCTAAAATTTATATAAGGTAAAACTTTAATAGTTGTAAAGTCCTAAATATAAGGAGATTAAATAAATAAAATGTGATTTAATTCCAAACTCCTAAATATTAGCTAGGAGAATAATCAAATGACTATTTTATCTAGTGTGAACTCTATTCTAAAAGGGTAAAAAAGACGAACAACATTTCACTAAGGGCTTTCGTACTTTTAATATAGTACTAGTTTTTATGTACGTGCGTTGCACGTTAATAATGGCACGTGATGATGTAGTCAATTCTTTATATGAAGGGATACCAAATTAAATTAATAAGATAAATATCAATACTAAAAAAACTCTTAATATATATATATATATATATATATATATATATATATAATTCCGCCATAATTTAAAATGCTTAGAAATATTATTACATATATTTGCATAATATGGGAACTCAAACTCATTGGACATCATCGTATGAATCTTATGACATACTATTATGCACTTATAGTTTATAAATATGCAATGTGATGATATCTTATCTAAGACTTCTTTGTATATGATATTGTGTATCTACCATTTTGACTCTTTGGTGCTCAGTCATGATAAGAACTTTTCTTATGGACATTGATATTCCTCTTGAAAGTGCAACATATAGTTGTCCATGCGAGAAAACATGTTGCGGGAGATACAATCCGACATTCGAAATTGTTTGTCCTTGTACTTTATTTATTGTCATTGCAAAACACAAGCGTACTGGAAATTGTTTACGAGCAAATTTAAAACGATATCCTTCATTTCCAAATCCTTGTGCACAGATAAATAGGTAGAATTAGCACCCTTCACGCGACCATTTATAATGTAATAACTTTTGTTCTGTTGAAATAAATTTTTCCAATCTTCAATATTTTTATTGAAAAGTACTGCCTGGATCTTTGTCCCCTATAAATTATTATAAATAGTATTGTAGATTAATTAAAAATAATACGAATAAGTAATAAATTATATCAAAATAAATATACAAAAGAAGCCTGCCTCTTCGTCAACAAATGTTAAATGCTAACGCAAACCCTCTCTTGTCATTCTTATATTTTATTATTGGTCCTCTTCGAATAACCAATACCTTAATTACTCATTCAACTTCATAAGGTTCAAGGTTATTTATTGGGACACATTATTTTTCCGAACCTGATTCCATTACAGTGAAGTACCTGCAATACATAAGTAAAAGCTACAAAATGTTATCTAATAGCTGAAATTAATATTGTCACACTAACATTAATTGAAATAACACAAACCATTTATCTCTAAAGGTATACAATTTAAATATAATACTACGTCAATATAAAAGACTTTGATATCCAAAACTAAAAATTATGCCGAAAAATAAAGAAGTACGACACAAAAACAATTACAATAAAAGTTAAGATGTCATTGTTTCTCTCTCTAATTCATAAACATGACCCTAAAGTATTACTCAATTATGAAAAACGTGAACTTACTCAATTACGAAAAGGGAACAATAAAGAGAACTAATAATACCTTTCGAGAAAATTTCTTCGTTCTACACCAAAACCTTTAGAGAATAATGAATAATGTGAAATAATGGCAGCTTTTATAGGAATAACTGACTTATTCTTTTCCTATATGGATTCTTGCAATAAAGCTTAATTATATGCAAGCGGGAGAAGATTAAATAAGGAAGAATATTGTTGTCAAAAAAGGGAAATGACAGTTTCCTTTAGGTTTATGATTCTTAGATTTTACTTTGTTTAGGATTCTTTCCTTACACCGTATCTTTTTATGTTTTCTGTTTCCTTTAGGTGGGGATTCTAAATTAGAATAAGATTTTCTTTGTTTAGGATTATTTACTTAATTATGTCTTTTATATTTATTGTTACTTATGTGTGTCTTTTCTTTGTTTAGGATTCAATTTAAGTTTTAGGTTATGTCACGGAAAAAAAGAATTTGACCCTCAATAGGTAAGAGTTTGATGTATGCATAGTTTAACTGGAAAGAAAATCAGCCTAAGGTAATTTACAATTATATCCTCAAATTATACAAATAATTAAGGTTATAAAAGTCAATCAATATTTCAAGGTTATTTTAGTCGTGCAACATTTAGCATAAATTATTCGTGCTTTTATAATAATATAGATATAGAAATATAAATAGATATAGATATTTCACGTGCCTCGCACGTATAGCCCCTAACTATTCCGAAAATATTTATTTAAGTCAATAAGCACGTATATTTTGAGTTAAATATTTTAAATTGGACACTTGTGTTAAAGTGGACTTATTTCTAGATTTTGAGTATCTAGTATTGAGTAACGTACATATGAAAATTGGATCGTATCTAAATTTCTCTGTCATATTCAATTTTTAGAATAATATACTTGCTCCGTTCCATTTTATATTGCACATTTTTTTTAGTTCGTTAAAAAAAGGACATATTTTATATTTAAAAATATTTTAATTATAAACTTATCACTTTACCTTTAGTGCAATGATATTTCGAGGATAATTAGGTCGTTTAACATTTAGCTTTCTAATATTCGTGTGATTATAATAACTATCACGTTTCAATTCTTTCACTTATCACATTTAGCTCAACTTATGAGACTAACTGGAACCTGCTATAATAAAGCCAATTCAACCGTATATTAATTATCCAATTTATATTTTAAACTGCAAACTGTATAAATCATGGTTAGCAAACTTCGTAACAACCAAATATAGAATATTAAAGCTAGAATGACAATATTTCAATAATAAACCTTGTTTTCAATACCAATTGCAAGAAATCACTTACTATGTTTATGAAGACCGTACAACAGCCATGCAGAAATTTAGTGCCACAGCTCAAAATTCATAACCCTCTGGAACGATGAAGTTAGTGCTCTTTGAGAAAGAATCTAATTTGAGTAATTATAGTTTTACGAATAGAAGGTCAAAGTGAATTGGAATTCGAAGTCCATATAAGTTGGTGTTAGCTAAAATTTTAGTTAAATTCAAAGTCTACTGTTAGGCAAAGTCAATTTATTACTATTTTATCCAACATGAGATTATCTTTATAACAAATAATTTAATGCTTTAAGGAGTATAAAAGTCGGTCAATATTTTGAGGATATTTTTGTCGTTCAACATTTAGCGTAAAGTATTCGTGCTTTTATAATAATATAGATATAGATAGATAGATATAGATATAGATAGTTAGTAGCATTTCAAATCATGAAAATAACGAAAAATATTTTATGTTTCACTCTTCACATTGCAAGTTAGTCGCATTCTTAAAAAAACCAAAACCACAAAAAATAATTAGTTAGTTAATCAATTAGGAATTTGAATAATTAGGTTAATTTTGCAAAGTTAGTCTTTATTAGAATTAGGTTAAATTTTCATGTACTGGAAGAAGCAATATCTTTTCCTCGAAGCACTATCGCATTGGTTAAATTTATGGAGTGTAAACTATCTCTGTCATAATTTTATATCCTTCATTTGATAAGCCAGCTTCCTTGGAACTGCGTTTTCTCAGCTCATGAATATAATGTTCGATAAAATTGAAAGAAGACTGAAACGGCTGTGGGAAAAAAAATAGGAAGAGAGAGAAAAGTTTTACTATATTTCTTTACTGACAAGTTATTAATTATCTAAATTATGGTTAGGGCTTTGTTTAATCAATTAAATTTTAGCCATTAATTTTAACCTATGCCATGTATCCCTAATCTAAGCTAGAACTTGGGGTAAATGGAGAGAAAGAAACGGAGGAGCCGGATCCCATATTAAGTTACTGTTACAAGTGCATTTGATTTGTCAAAATTGATATTTGAAGCTTAGACACTTTGACCAGCATTTGTGCAGCCATGGTATTGAACACATGGCACCATCTCATTGGTTTGTATTTGACTTGACATGACACGTCTTTTAAGTAACCATATTAATTTTGTGAAGTCCAACCTAAATAATGTTTGGATTTTAATAAGTCTACTCGACGAAGTTAACCGCATTATTCTAAAGATTCAACTTTGTGTATAGTGATTCATTCACTACACTATGATCCATTGTATATGTTGTTATTTTTTTTTTAGAAAACTATTTTTTACACACATATGTTCGAGCTCAAAATTTTCAGCTTACCGAAGACATGACCCTTAATAGGAGAGTGTGGAGGTCGAGAATTAGGGTAGTAGGTTAGTAAGTACTCGAGCGTATTTCTTTTCCAAACTTGTACTTCCTTTCATAGCTGTATTACTAGTGTTATCCTCGTGTTTCCTATTTTTAAGATCACTATTATTACGTTGATGTTTCCTTTGCTACGGTTGTTGTTACTATTTCTCTTTCCGTAGTTCTTTGTCATAACTGTTGTAATTTTACTTTTATTGAGCCGAGGGTCTTCGGAAAACAACCCCTCTACTTTTACAAGGTCTGCATACCTCACTTGTGGGATTACGTTGGGTTTGTTGTTGTTGTACATATATAAGTACAACTATTATACATTGCTGAAGAAAAACACTCACGATGAAAGAGTGGAGAAGATATTAAGAGGCAGTAGTGAAGAACAATGTGTGTGTGTGTGTATTGGCCGTTGAAAAATAAAAAAATGAGCTTGCATATCTGGAGCAACAGAGCTCCATATTGAAGATGGAGTTCATGCCTTTTTCTCTTGAGCTTGAGTAAGGATTTCCCTATCAGACAGCAAATGATTCCCTCCCTTCATTCTTCAATTCAAGTCTAGCAAGCTTTCAAACTGTTGCAGTCATTTCTGTATCCATTTGGTTATGAAACCAACTATCAAAATTCCTGTGGCTGATTGCTTTTGCATAGCCTGTGAAATGAGAGCGCTGCAGCAATCACCTTCTTTTTTTGCCTAACTGAAAACAAGTAAACAACGGTACTCAATCAGCTGTTTGGCCAATAAAGCCTGATCAAAGATAAACTGATTTCTGGTAATGTACAGGGAATCAGGACTTCAGCCAATTTAGTAAATAAGGAATTCCATAAACTGCGTGCATCTATTGTAATATATGGACAACCAGGTAGCAGTTAAATGGAAATAAGATATAACTAGTCCGTTTTGCTGTTTGATCTGTATCAACTTTCAGACATAAACGAAGTTCATAAAAGGTAAACTCTATTGTACGCTATTTGAATTTTAAGATTCAATACAAGAGAAGTACAAAAAAAAAGGTCTAGAAATCTGGTAGTGATACAAGGTTGAATGTTCAGGGTTGTAGTTTTAGCGCACCTTATGAATTTACAGGGGTAGATAATTGATCTTTGATTTTCTATGTTGCAAACATTTGGTGAACTTTTAATCCTCTTTGGAACCATGATTGTCGAACAGCCTGGCGGATCTGACACTCATGTTTCTCAAGGAGCTCTTCAAATGTTTGTGTTTGAGATAGCAACGGTCCAGAAAATTCGACTTTATCCCCTTGATCTTGTACCTGTTTGTAGTCCAATACAGGAATATTAATAGAAGCCCGAGCTAAAATATGGAGTCCAAATTTTATGCATCCCATAAAATGGAGTGCAAAAGCAATGGTATAGTATTTTATTATGAGCGATACATATAAACTGATGAGGGAAAATGTGCTCATTAAATAAGACTCTTGACAAAAGCTTTTGACTAACCAAATTGATAGCAGTTTCCTCTTTTAGATATTGTGTCAGTGACAGTTCTTGTGAATGGTATCCATCAGAAGCATCAAAGGAATCTGGGCGCTCTAATTGGCTCCAATTTTGACGAATTGCATGCTCGGTAGATTTATAGGTATCCTGGCCCATAGAATTGGTCTGATTTGCATCAATAAGTTCATAGTTGTCTTGTCCTTTTGGCTCCATGTTATTTTTCACATGCAATGTAATTGAAGGTTCAAAAATAAGGCTTCTCGAACTAGTTCTCCTTCGTGATCTTACTGATGAATCGTCAAACCTTCTTTTTGCCCATGCAAAACCACTTGATCCTGAAATTTGAAGTGGACCTGAAAAGGGGACATCACCTTGAGATGCATTCTTGACATGAAAAGTCTTTACCATCATATCAACTGATGGCTTAGGTCGCTCAAGACTTGTAATTGTATCTCTTTCTTCTTGAGCAGTTACATTATTGCTGTCACTTATATGAGCACCTTTATTTTGGATGGGCAAATTCTGCAGAAATGAAAATTTAGTTTCGTCTCAATAATATACGGACTGAAGACAAAATGCACTCATACTAATAGCAACATGCAGTTGTGGGAATAATTTAAGAAGTGAAAGGTTGAGATGAAAAAGTTGGACCTCTTCTGGTGCTAGTTTACGGAGGCCATTCTGCTTTCTAGTTAACTTTCTTGTTGGATCAGGTACACGGACTCTTCCACTTGGCTTCTTCCTGAAAATTGTTGGAATCATAACTTAGATTAGATCCGTGTGAATCTCGTAAAAACTGTATCAACTGCATGAACTTTTGTCAACACCAAAGAGCAAGACAGTAAACTCATTCTACCAGATTAAGTGGTGCAACTTTAGTCATACAGTTTTATTCCCCTCCCTCTTCAATGTCAAGGTTTCAACATGGAAAGTTGCATATTTTTGGTTGAGTCAGACAGAGCTAGAACAATCTAATTGGACGAGTGGAAGTCGAGATGGTTTGGTAAGCAAGCAATTCATTCTGTAGGCACCACTTTCAAGTTCTCTCTCTCCCTCTCTCTTGCTCCCAGAGATATTCGTGAGTCCAGCTCTTGAAAGATTTTGGAGTATATGTCAACTGACTTTTTTTCACTACTCATCCTCGAGTTGTAGTCTAGTTCAAACATAGATGACTTGAAAATTATCTTGGACGAACCTCAAGCTGGATGAGTCAATAGCATAAGCGGATTGTATTCAATAGTTAATCTTATGCCGAATTACTGACTTGATTTGAGATAATCAAACCTTTTATATAATCCAAAAGAATGATAATTCAAAAGGGTACTTGCTGCTTATCCCTTTGTCTCAGGTCAGTTTGGGTTCGGGGAGGGACAGCGTAAAGCACTCTTGTCTAATCACATGATTTTCCTTAGACGTAAATCAAGTGCTGTAAACTATTAAGACAAAAGCTCCTTCTAACATAATATGACCTAAATCCTCACCTTTTTGCATCTTCATGATGTTTGGCATCTATCTCTTTGCTTGGTGGGTACTTTGGCAAGCTTGAAGGATCACAAGCATGAGGCTTTGTCTTGAAGTACTACACAGATCATTCAAAAAAGTGTTAGCAATCTTGAATTGAGAATTCAGGCTTAACCTTATAAACAAAGAGCACATTGAAAAGATAGGAGAAGCATAATTTTCATTATGCTATATACATCATCTCAGATTAAGTGTGAGTTCGACAACACTGAACTAACAAATCTACAACAGGTTGTGGATCGCTACCTCAGATGCAAGGGCAGAAGAAGCGGTTCCACGTTTGTGTGGCTCCACAGAAAGAAGAGTTTCTATGAGTGAGACTGCACTTTTTGGTAAATCTTTAAAGGTGTTCCAAAGACAGCTCTCATAAGGATGTTGTGGTTTAAATATAGTTGCGTGAGGAAGTTTAGATCTCTTCCAGTAATCATCTGGTGGAGATCCACAAAGTTTAAAAACTTTATGCAGCTGTTCAACCTAAATCACATAGATAAATTGCATTATCAAAGATGATGGCAAGAAATAGTGCAGGTTAGCAGACCAGCACTATATTTATCTTTATTCTCATAGAATAGATAGCTAACAGAAAAGTAATTCGAAGAAAGAAGATCGGTTCTAAAACTAAATGGTTAGGATTTACTTTTGTGTTAAAGAGAGCAAACTCTTAAAGGAGGTACCTCGGTTCTCCCTTGAAGGATAGGTTTACCAGTAAGAATTTCCGCAAACACACATCCAACACTCCAGAGATCCACAGAAGCTCCATAATCTGTGGCTCCCAACAAAAGTTCTGGAGGTCGATACCATAAAGTGACAACTCGACTGGTTAGTGGTTGCTTCGTTCCAAGGTCAGAGAAGTTCGCCAATCCAAAGTCTGCAACCTTCAGAATTCCCTCATTATTTACAAGAAGGTTTGCACCTTTGATATCCCGATGCATTATACCTCGAGAATGACAATGCTCAAGTCCAGATAACAACTGTTTCATTAAGCATTTAACCTGCAAAAGGAGCTACACACCTTTAGCACAAACATAATATTATGCACTCATCAGGTCGAAGAGAGGGCAAAAATTAGGTAGATTAAAAGAGAATAAGCTGCAAACTAATGTTAATTATGAGAAGCTAACGAACCTGTGATTCACTGAACTTGACTTCAGGACAGGACAGGAGTCCTGAAATATCATGTTCCATGTACTCAAACACAAGATATATGCTAGAAGAAAATCTGGAGGTAATTATTCCCTCTAACTTCATTATATTGGGATGGTCAAGCCTGCGAAGAATCAAAATTTCTCTTGCCATAAATCTAACACTTTCTGGCTCGAAGTTATCAAATCGCACTTTCTTCAGTGCAACTGTCCTTCCACTTTCCAGATCGCGTGCTCTGAATACGCTGCTATATGTACCCTGGCCTATCTGTTACAGCAGTTAAACCACATAAAGAAAACAAAATTCATCAGCAAGAAAGCTTAATTAGCAAAATTATGAATTGTAACAAAGTTTGACTCTGAAGGAATAGCACGATAGTTGGCTTATGACGACCAGAGACCTTCAACTCCTTTCATGGAGTAAAATTTGTAACTAGTTAATAAGTTTAAAACTTTATCACTTCAGTCAACAGAAAATACTACTATCTTCATCTCGTTCATCCCCTTCTGTTCCCAGTTTCCATGTGCTCTCCTCCCCCCC